GCTGTGAAAGGAAGTCAGACCAATCCAAGGCACCTTCTACTTTAATCCCTGTGTGAAAAAAAGGAAAGTTAATTTTATTTCAAAGAAGCACTGCAACTCCTTTATTTCCTTAGTGTTCATGCTAGCTGTGGGGATGAGAAAGGAGCTATAGCTATAGCTGTGCATCAGCTGCCTGTATTTATCTTCTTGAAGTGTTGACCTGTTATGTGGCCTAAGCTGTGTGATTCCTTTTCATTCTACCTTTGAGTCCTTGTCTTTGCATCTGGTTATTTTTATTTAAGAAATGGATTAACCCTTTTGAGTTAAATCTGTGATCAGCAACTCATTCAATCTCCGCAATGCCTGCTGCTTGGGTGAAATGGCTCTCACTAAAACTAATGCATTGTTAAGCTATAAGTAATTTTATGAAATCTATTTGCTTTTAGAGATTCTTCAGAATTATCAACGTAATATACTGCTAAGGGGAGTTTGAGAAAACAATTTCATTATTTAGCAACTGAAGAATCTGGTTCTGTTGTTATATTAGTAGCCCCTTCAAACACAATTCTCTTTTTGTGTTAGTATTCTATTTACTGTATGTAAAGTATTGTTTAAACTCCCATCTATTTAAACCCTGAATTTGAAGTTAAGATAGAAGACATGAGGGAGACATCCAGAAACAAAGAAGAGTCTATACACAGAAAAATGGAGCTACATGTAATCAGAGAACGAATTTTGCATCCCGTGCCTGCCAAGACAGTGGCCTTTGCATTAATTTTGAAGACCAGCAGACATTAATGGGAAAGGATCTGAAATCAGTTCCCTTCTGTTTACAGGGACCACATCTCCAATTGTATGTCTGCTGTAGCAGAATGCATGAGGGAGGTTTAGTCACACAAACAAGGCTGTGTAATGGTTAAGGTTAATAATCCCTCATCTTGTGCATTGAAAGAAGGCGGCTTTCTGACGCTGTCCTTTGGCATTGCACTCTTAAAGGCATCCTAAGATTTTACTATAGATAGTCTTCTATGTTCCCTTTCCTTCAAAGCTAAAGTCTTGGAGTCTGAGAGAGATGGCAGATAGTTTCTTGCTTAACAAAGGTCATAGTTCCCTGTGTGGCAGCCCTGTATGTCAAAGAGTTATATCTATAGTAATCTATGAAGTATTAAATGTCTCTTTGTTTGTTCCTGTCAGGCGTTTGAATGACAATGATATTTCTGTTTTGGAAGCTATTGGACTCTTCAAGAAATTGCCCAACCTCAGAAAAATGTAAGTTTTGAGTCACTTGCTTGTTAGAATACATGCTGCCTTGGGTTATAAGGAAGGAGGCAGAGATGATTTTTTTATAGTTTAGTACTGCAGTAGCAGAAATCTCTTTTAAAATGTGAATTTAAGGAAATGAAATTAGTTGCCTGTTAGAAAGACAGGCCCAGTTAAACCATGGTGACAGATGAAGATCCCTAGGTGGACAGTTCAGTATTCTTTAGGTTATATTTCTTAAAGTCTTCGACTTATGGAGACTGAAAGGAGTTCAGTCCCAGAATTTATTCAGATGTATGCTTATTATTAGAGATAGCTACAAAGTTACCATTTTTGTTTTGTCTTTTGAATGTTTTACACGACTCCAACTAGAGTGAGTGTTTCAAATAGTCAAAGGAAAATAATATTACAAGATACAGATGATGGCAGCTTCTTTTGATCGTTATTGTTTTAGAGAGGAGAATCAATTAGCTAATTTAGAGATCGGTCACTCAAATATATCCGTATAATTCTGTTAACAGCCTGGGTCCTGGCACTGTACAATGTATGATTTAATGAGAGATGTGTTTTGGAAAGAGGTTGATATGTTAGATACCTCCTGATTGTCTTCTAAAAGGATTTTTCTGAAGTTATTTAAAGTTTTAACCTTATAGCCTCATTGCTAGTGTCTCATATAACTGTATACTTTCACTACGATTTTGTTGCTAAAGTCAAAGTAATTTAGGGAAACCAATCAATCAGGCTTTCCGTTCTGTGTTCATTTCATGTGGTTTCTGCCACCTGGAGCTTCTTAGCCATTTGGATCCATGTAAGATCTCAGGAGATTTGGAGAAAACTGTAGCAGGATTCTTGTGTCAGTATTATTTCCACAAGAGTTTCAGATGCAGCACTGCAGGTTTGGGAGTGAGGGTTGTATTTGTGCAAGTACAGGCCACCGGACTTGGGGAATTATATACATTAGCCTTGTATTTTATGAATGATCCATAAGTTGTAGTTACAGTGCACTTAGAAAAAGTTGTTGACATTGTTGAAGTGCTCTGTTGGCTATGTAAGTAGATAGTAAATGGGAACGAAATATGCATGGTATATAAAAGTATACACAAATTGGAAAGCGTCTGTCCTCATCAAACCTTCAGGATTTATGTTTTGAAAATTGGAGAGGCATGATAGCTGGAATGATTTCATTCATTTTATTTAAAACTTACTGTAGGCAACTTATGGTGCTGTCCTTTCTGTTCCCATCAATCACTCAAGTGGAAAGGATGCCTCGACAGGGATGTATTGTTATGCATAAATGCAGCATGAAACAGTTATGAGAGGTTTTTTGAGAGTTTTTTCCCTGTGAAACAAAACATTTTTCATCCCTGTTCTCGGTAGGCAATGAAAACTGAGGTTTACAGGTGCAGTTCAAATGGGTGGCAAAAGGTAGCTATGCCCTGCACCTCGTAAAAAGTGTTTCTCCCATGGATTTGTAGTGGTGGCCTCCAAGCGGAGGCTTTTTAGGTAGTCTTTGTAGTTGAGCTAATTTCTTTTGTTATACTTGATGTTGTAAAGAAGTATCTTAATTTGAATGAAGGGATTTTCTGAAAAGGGTGGGTTTTTGTATAAGCTGAGCAGCATTTCAACCGTAACCTTGCTCAGTAGCTTAATCCATAAAAAGCTAGATTAGGCTTCTTTTTTCTAATTCTCCTAGTTCCATTTTGTGAAAGGAAAGGGTTACTAGGAAAAAACAAACAAGCAAACACCCCTTTCCTTCTATGTTATTATTTTGACTTTACTAAGTATTCTCCTGCTAATAGGTGTCTCTCTATCATGCAAGAAGGAAAATGTAGGGAAATACCAATGAATGGGACTGTCGCTGCTAATGGTCCTAATCCAGCGGCTCTGTGTGTGTGACAGGAATGTGATGCATGTGCCCTTCAATAAGTCTTACTGCTTACTGCTGCTTTTAAATTAAGGAGGAAGAATATTAATCAAACCCCCATTTTTCAGTGTGTATAAGGGACAAGAAATTTTACAGTTATTTGATTGGCAATTTTGACTCTGTCTTGTCATATTCCTCGTCTGTTCAAGTTTAAGGGAAAGCAGCAGATGGAGGAATCTGTCTGGAAATTGTGTTGCTTCCTAGGCTTAAGAAGAAAGTTCAGAGCTTTGCAGTGGCAGAATGTTAGCCTAAATTAACTCTTTTTCTTTATTTAATCTCTGTAATTATCTTTCTTCTGAAATGAATCTGAAAACCTGGAATCTGGACATCTGAATGGGCATTTGGATGGTTGCCCTTTAGTTGTCATTCACTTCAGCTTAAGACTAATGACAGATCTGTGTCAAGGAAATTTGCAAAGAAACTACATTAAGAGTACTTGCTCAGAAAGCTCCAGCAGAATTCCAGAGATTGAAGAATTAGCTGTTCCTTCCTCTCGATGGGTGTTTCATTTTGTTGCCTATACATCTTACATTATGCTTAAGTGTAGCTTTGGATTGTAACATAAACACTCTGAAATGATCTGTAAAATGGACCTTAAGGAGCATTCAGATTTTACTTGCATTCTAGGTGTATGCTTGCATTTGTTCTTTTGTCACTCAAGCTCTGTCAGTTGTCCATGTCTGTATGCGTGTTGTGCCATATCACAGTCTCTTGGGTTTTCTAATAAGATTCCGAAGAAAAATGCTTATAGATTTGGCATTGACATATTAGGGTTGCTCCAGTGTGTATATGTGAAAATAGTCTTTAATTGTATAAATAACATTATAATTTTCCATTGGACTCTTGTCCCAATTCCTTGCTAGGTTCCTCATCTCCTGATTCAGTGCAGTTTCTATTCTCACCATGTTTTGCCTCAGCCAGTGTCTTGTCCTTCTTCTCTCTGCCTCTCTCTAACCACTGACAAAACTCCTACTCTTCTCACTCAGGCTCCCTTCCTAGCCCTCACACACAGTTACTCCACTGCATTGCTTTGAGCTGTTTTTATAGCCTTCACAGATCTCTCTAGGGCTGCCTCTCTATCCAGCCAAGGACATTACTTCTTAATACTGCCTGGGATTGGTAGAGTAGATACATGAATAGAGGAATGTGCCCAGTTCCAAACTTTGCGCAGTCTGTAGTTCAGCGTCCTGCACTGTCTTGAGAGACTTTGGAAGATGTAATCTCAAGAAGACTCTGAAGTGAAAAAATCTCTGGAAAATTAGCTCCTAAAAGTCAGATTTTCAAAAAAATATGTCTTGCAGTCTCCTTGGATTGTGGCAGGAATCTTAAAACTCTTTTTTAAAGACTAAGAATTCAGCCAAATCCTAACAGATTTTGACAGGGAAGTTGTATCCTTCGAATAGAAGATCTACATGGTAGTTACCAATTAACAAATTTGAAATAAGAATGTATTTGTGTGCTTCGGGCTTTTCACAAAAGGGTTATCAGAGTTTTGAGATATGAGAAAAATGGTATTTCGGTTAGCTTTATTTCCTGGAATAGGTGAACTTCCTTCTTTTTGAAAAAAACAGAAAAGTAAAAAGTATCTACTAAACATGAAAAGGGCAACTGACAGGCCATTCTTTTAAATCTTGCTGATGTTATAAAGTAAACATTAAAAAAAATCAGAAGTATCAGATGACCTTTTCAATAAAGGGTACTGCCGACCCCACCTCTAATATATAATTAGCTTTTGGGGTGTAATTTGTCTGTACATATTCCTCCTACACTGAATCTCATTGCATGATGTGTCAGCCCAGGATTTACTACTTTTTAATGCAAAACAAAATTGAATTCTTGATACAGAAATTTAAAGGTCACAGATCCGTAATGGAAAGTTATGCCACATTTTATTTAGGAATTAATTGCTAAGATTACCCTGCTGGTTGTTAAAAGGTTAACATGTCTGCATATAGCTTTAAAAAAAAAAATTAAAAAATCAACTTCAATAATTAGCTGCAAAATCCCATATACATAATGCTATTTTCATAACCTAAATTTTAATCCATCTTTATGTTTAATATTTTTTACAGTAAAATAACAAGGTTGATGGAGATTCCTGTAGACAGATCTAGCCCGGTCCAGACATTATTTACTGGGTTCTCCAGTAGGTTCTACAAAATGACATAAACTCTGTGCTGCTTTCATTGCATTCTTACCATATTATCTCAACTGATCTTGCAAGTGTAAAGGGATGACTAGTCTCTAAAGCTATAATCACATTACAGTGACTTCCAGGCTCCAAGAACTGTGTTGCTAGTACTTTGCATGGTGGTTAGAAAAAAGCAATTTGAATCTGCTTGAAGTACAGGCAAATACAAAGATGTGTTTCCGAGCTCCACAACAGTGGGACCAGCTCCATCACTTGGGTTTGTTTGGTTTCCTGTACCTCTGAGATAGAAAGGCTCTAGGACCTGCTGCCCTCCAGCCCTGGGAGCTATAAGCTTCTGCCTTTCACAGAGGAGTATGTTGCCAGTGGGAGATCTTCTCGCTCAACACAAGATCTCACATCAGGCAGAGGTGAGGGGTGACACTGCCATCCACAGAGGTAAGGTTTTGACTTTTGTGAAAGGGAGCAGTTCTTTGCTTGCAGCAAGTACCAAATTCAGCATGAAGCAAACACTGGGGACCCCACAACTCCCTGGGACTCCTTCGAGTTGTTAATCAGTGAAAAAATGCTCTAGTGCTTGGGGACTCCCACGGCAGTGGGAGCCTGGAGGGGTCTTCAGGCAATGGCAGACAGGTTCAAGCTCCAAAACCCCCTGGGTACCTAACTCAGTGGGAGCAAGGAGGTACACTTCCTTGCTGAAATGGAATGCTGACCCATAAAGAGAGGCTGCAGCTCCCAGATGTCAGCTCCAGAGCCTGCGCACTCCCTGGAGCCTATGGGTAATCAGTGGCACTGATCATTCCCACTTAGGTCCCAGCAGCTGTTTCTGTAGAGAAAAAAATTACAATGGGCTGACAATCAAAATAAAAAGGTGAACTACCATACTTCATGCTCTGCTGGGGAGAAAGGGGACTGACCTCTTTTCTCAGAGAACAAGAAAAATGAAAATTATTTACCTCATAAACCTGAAAGGGACACCTGACAGTCCATTCTGTTAAATCTTGCAAAAGTTAAAAAATGAACATAAAATATGGTCTTATAATAGGAAGTGTTATGCTGCCTTGGCAACAGCTATTACTGCCAACCCCACTTCTAGTATATAATTGCCTTTGGAGACTTAATTTCTCTGTAAATATTTCTCCTACAATCAATTGTATGGAGTGTCAGCCCAGGATTTGACACATTGTACATGCAAAATAAAGTTGAATCATGATAAAGTTTGCAGACTAGAAGTCGGTTTCAAAAACAGAATCTTGAGTTTCTTGGGGAGGTAAAAGTAGTTTGTATTTTTTGAAACAACTATTACCTGCTGTTCTTTCCCCTAAGTATAAGTTTTGCCATGGCAATTGAAGTTGCAGTCATCTGTCACTTGTTATAGAGAAACAGATTTTATTTTCTGGAAATGATATTGCAGAGAGTGTTGTGGTACGTGGTGTTTGGGCTTATCATGTGCCTCCCTTTTTTTCCAGTAGGACCATCAGTTCACTCTGCTGAATTAACGTAGGAGAGTCACTGGGTGTACTTCACTGTCTGTCTGTAATATTTAAGACTTTCAGTGCCATCCTGCTTCTGAGAACAACTCACTCTGTAAAAGCCAGCCAGACTGTTGCTAAAAGCTGTAAAATTTCTCAGCATCCTCCAGAAGAATGCAACAGCACTGGGGTTTTCCTCCTAACCTATCCTTCAAAATTCCAAACACGTTGCCAACAGACAGAAATATTCTAGGGAAACCCCCACTCAGAACAGGCTGATTGTATGATAATACCAGAAGGTTCAAGGTGAGGCCAAGCAGAGCCTTTGCAGTTGGACTGTGCTTTGGTGGTTGTTCTTATGGGAAGGTGTGTCGGTAACATGTGCAGCAATGCACAGTATGGTGGATTGTTAAAATGGACCCAGCAGGTACAGCAGGATGAATAGAAGTCTGAATAGAATCCAGCTTGTTCTGTGTTGAAGTTATAAGAGCAACAGAAATAATATTATCATAAGCTGTAGCCATAAAGTAAATAAAACCTGACTGAAAAATGAACTGTGTGAACAATGTCACCTTGATAGCTCCTTAGTCTGTTCATTTCCTATTCACAGCCCCACATAAGGTAAACCCAGGCTTTCTAAAAATTTCTTCTGACCTCTTGCCCAAAATAAAAGTCTAGAAATAGAATTAAACATTATCATCAGGGAAATCAGGGAGTCCTTACGGAAACAGTAACCTTTCTTGAGTGACCAGGTTGACTAGAGGAAAAGAAGGTTATTGGAAATAGTCAACATGGATTCACTAAGAGAAAATAATGTCTAACCAATCTGATAGCCTTCTATGATGGCATGACTGGCTAGGTAGATGAGGGGAGAGCAGTGGATGTTTTCTACCTTGATTTCAGCAAGGCTTTTGACACTGTCTCCCATAGCATCATCATAAGTAAGTTTAGGAAGTGTGGGTTAGGTGAGGGGACAGTGAGGTGGGTGAAGAACTGGCTCAGTGACAGAGCTAAGAGGGTTTTAATCAGCAGTGCAGAGTCTAGTTGGACACCTGTGGTTAGTGGTGTTCCTCAAGGGTCAGTACTTGGTCCAGTCCTATTCAATATATTCATCAGTGACTGGGATGAAGGGACCGAGTGTACCCTCAGCAAGTTTGCTGATGACACCAAACTGAGAGGAATGGCTGATACACCGGAAGGCTGTGCTGCCATTCAGTGAGATCTGGACAGGCTGGAGAGTTGGGCGGAGAGGAACCTGATGAAGTTCAATAAGGGCAAGTGTAGGGTCCTGCACCTGCGGAGGATGATGATGATCTCCTGAGATCTATTCCAACCCCAACCATTCTGTGATTCTCTGACTATAGGTTCCCATTTGGGTCCTGCCAGAGGGCATCTTGGGAAATACTGAAGAATAGCTACCTTGGGAAATACTCGAAACTCATTTTCTTTTCCACTCTCTTCCAGTATTTCAAGAAGAATTGCTTATAGAAAACCTTAGCATTGCAAGAGGGTGGGGCTTTTCTATAATGGGTTTGCTGTAAAGTGTCAGGTTTTTTCTAATTAAAACAACAACAAAAAATCCTTGTCAAGTGCTATGATCATATATGAAAGATTCTTTCAGTGCTAGGAAAGATGGAGTAGAACACTCCAAGTTGCAGAGCAGGCAAAAGTTTCACTGCTTTCAATTTTCAAGGTTTGTATCAGCTGATTATTTTTACTACAAATTCTAGACTGAAAAGTATGTAATTTCTCATATTTATTGTTCTAGCAGGTCAGACTTTAAGGAGGACACTTTTTTTTAGTGAATTAGTGCTGTCCTCTACCATTTTTTAATTTAGTTCTGATATAGGAAGCTTTAATTCAGGAAGACAAAGAAATCCAGGTTGGCAGAACATCTGCTTTGGTTATACTCCAAGCGGGATTGCGGGGCAGTGTCATCTTTACCTATTTATTATTGTAAAGCTTGTCTTTTCTCTGCCTTGCAACTTTGATTTCACCATAGCATTTAATCTTGGATTAAGTCAAAGTCTTTGTGTGTTATAGTAACTCACCCTCTCTTCCCATCACAAACATTTACTTATTTATTCATGTATTTTTGTGCAAATATGCATCATGGCATGATCTTTACCAGGAAATGGATCACTGGGAGCATTTATTTATGCCAGCATTCAAAAGAGATGCTGAGCTACAAACATTTCCACTAGAGAAATAGCTGAGTCCCAAAATTAAATGCATATGCCAGAATATCCTTCCTTGACTTGCTTTGACACTGAACATAAACTTGTCGTGTGAGTGTTAGCACAAGGTACTAAACTTCTGAAAAGCAAAATCTGCATGCAAGTGTTCCTATATGTTTTTATGTTATTTTTGGCTGATTGCAAGCATACTTTATTCTTTCTGATCACAGAGGTGATGGGCCCACTATCTGACAGTTCTTCAGCAGACATAAACCAGCGTACTCAAGTCTCCCACATGAAGCATATCTCCAAGACTCAGCTTTTTCTTTTTTTTCCTTTTTTTTTTTTTTTTTTAATTAAGTGATGACTTCTACAAAGAGCAAGACCCACAGTATTTCTGTCTGAGGCCAAGCTGTCCTGTGGCCATGTCTTCTGTCAACTTTTATCCCAAAAAGATTGCCTGTTCTTCTGAACAGTAGCCCAGGTGTTAATCTGATACCTTGTCATTTGTTTTATATCACCTGGAATTGGATTTTGAAACTATTACTTATGCTGCATCTGTACTTGGATTGTTTCTGGAATAATGTACTATTCAGTATGAGTAACAGTGTTGGAATTTGGCATCTTCTTGGGAGCAAGAGCTTATCTTTTATTTCCTCTTTTTGTTCCAGACAGTAAAATAAAGAATAGTGTTTCCAGGCATAAACCTAAACAAGCAGGATTATTCATCCTATTCTATACAGGGCATCATAGGAGATCCTTTAAGGACTGAGGCCCACGGTTTTGATGTGCTTAAGATCTTTTATATAAATGTTTTAAATAATTAAATTCCATTTATTTTTATGCATCTCTAGTGGCATTTTATCGTTCAGAAGTTTTCTTTTCACTGGGTTTTTCACAAGTATGAAATATTCAAAAGAATAATTTTGCATTTCATCAGAACTTCATTTGACTTTGTAGATTGAACTTTTCCATTGCTGATCTATAAGCAAACATCTTGGGACTGTATAGGCAAAGTAAATGTTTGGAAAATAATGCCGTATATTGCAGTAGCTGTGAATTGAGTATTAAGTGATACTCATTTCATTTTGACTGGTGGTTACATTTAAGTGCCTGGGAGTTCATGAGTGCACATATTAACAGATACATGCAGTTTTGTACGTTACTCCGGTGTTGGAGTAACTTTCCAGAGTAAAAGTACACTAAATAAAAGTGGTCCATATTTCAGTGTACCATTGATCAAAGTAACTGATTCTTGCCAGATGAGCACTCAGTCCCGAGCATGGTTCATAACTTCATGGACATAAATCAGATGTTAGAAACCCCCACTTAATTCTATCCTTGACATACTTACAAGCAAGAATGATATGAGGTGTAAGAGCTGGTAATTCCATTAATTTACATACTCTTGATATATCTGATATAGGTGTGGTTTTGATGAGTGAAGGGGAGCTGTTTGTGAGTATAGTAGGTATAGTTTTGAACTTCCATATACTCTCCTTACTGGATGAATGTCTTTCTAGATAACCAATAAAACGCACATATTCTTCCTATCTTCCTCCTTCTGTTGTGATGATGTATGTTTGGAATAAAACAGGAATAATTTCTTATTGTGACTGGTTTTGTCCTTCCAGAAATCTAAGCAACAATAAGATCAAGGAGATCCGAGAAGGCACATTTGATGGAGCTTCAGGAGTGCAGGAACTGATTCTGACAGAGAATCAACTGGAATCAGTGCACGGACGAATGTTTAAAGGCCTCACAGGGCTAAAGACGTTGTAAGTGCAAAGATCTGTCTTTCTGTTCCTCTGTGGGAGTGCTCAAGTTCAGCAATGCCTGCTAAAATATCTGTTACTAGACATCAAGCTCTAACACAAGGTCTTGTATCACTGTCATGAAGTCTTCAATACATTTCTGGGTAGGTTTGAGATTTATCTGCTATTTCTGTGAAAAAAGAGATTTTCAAAAATTTCAGGAGTAACATGATGGTGAACCTGTTATGGGTCAAATTTGGGCACTTTTAATCATTTAATTACTTGTATTTTATTATTTCCTATGGAAACAAGGCATGTAAGAACATGTTTGCTATTTATTACTCCATCCTCCCACTCTGCCTCCACTCAAAATGGAATTGTAGATACAATACATGCTTCTTATATTGCAAAGTATCATGGCACAATTACTTCAGTCCTTACTCTAGTGTAAAAAGAAATCCAAGTTTCACTTCAAGGACTTTGTCCTGTAATGACATATAGGGAACTTTTACTGTTCCTTTAACATTTTTTTTTTTCTGTGGTTACAGCCATCTGTTCTTTAATTTAATGTATGCACTTTACTAAGGGATTTGAAAATACTCTTCATAGACACTAAATTAATTTTTATATTGTAAAGCAGCCTATGGCAGTGCTCCTAAACAAAATTCAGCATTTTTTAATAAAAAGATGCTTAATTTTCAAGCTATCCTGCTGACCTGACCTACATTTCCCCCTAGCTGAGAAAGCAGTCTAAATATACACAGCATGATATGAGGATCTCCGAGTATAAGTTTTCCTTCAGGAATGATACACAGTGAATGGTGAGCTATGATACAAAATCAGAGGTTTTGACTTGAGGGACATATATTTCTGTCCATTAACTGACCTTCTTTGAGCATTAAAATCGTGATCTTTTGCAAAGAGGCCACATTGGACAGGGTCATAGTCCAGTTTTTAAAAGACTGTATGTTTCCTGAAATATAATAAATCACTGTGCAAGACACATTGCATCCAAATTCGTTCATCTCATCTTGCAGTACTATGCCTGCTACTTTACGTACAGAATTGAGAAAATATTTCCTACTGCTGGTAAGCCAGTAAGGGCCTTGCTTCTCTTATTTACTACCCTATTCCTTTTAGAGCTTGTGATCTTGACATGGCTTTCAGGAAGGATAGTACTCCACGTGTAAGGCGGTCACTCCACAGTGTCTGTGCCCTGTGACACTCTTCTGACACAGTTTCACCCTGGCTGCAATACCAAAACTATTAAGACGATCGTGCCTGCGATGGTAACTGTACATAAAGAACAGCAATGCAAAAACAATGTAATGTTTGCATCTTAAACACCAAGTGTTTGTGATTACACTGTGACTTTCTTCCCAGCCATATCTAATCTCTCTTTTTTTCAATAATCTATTCATGTAGCATCTAAATGCACAACTGGTGGATACCAATCTGAGATTTAAATCCAGACTTCTAAGAGAGTCTGAATTTTCAGTGTTCACTGCATGAATTTGATACCAAGGAATTAACCCTCCTCAATTTGGAGGATCAGTTCGCTTTAACAGCAGCATGAGCTGCATATATTTTGCGGATTTTTGGTAGTGAACCTTAATTACTGAATAATTTTTCACCTAAGTAGGAATATCACAACTGTGTAGTGATGTTTACAGACCTCGATGTTGATTGGCATGCAATGTAACAAATACACATAAGCCTTTTTTGCCATAAAGTGAAACAAGATACTACAGTCTTTCAGATTAATTGGGCTTTATCGTCAAGTTCATTGTTACCATAACAACTCAGAGAGATGTATCTTCCAAAACACAGCACTGATTCATCTGGCACAAGCCCTGAGCAAAGATCATTTTATAGGATGATTACTGCTTTCTGTCTTGTCAATTAATGATTATAATGACATTTCAGAGCTTTTGTTAGATCTGGATATCTTTCCCAAGCTATTCCTTGATTTCTGCTGAGGATGCTGTTTCCTTCCATACTTTTGCAGTGTGGATTACAAAAGACATCCATGATAGGAGTAGAAGTAATGCAGCTAGTATTGTTATGTCATGCATTTCTGGCAGTCATTCTCAATTGATCTCTGAAATACATCTTCACTTACTCTCAGGTATTTACTAAATGAAGACTTTAGTTTGTATTTCAAGTTTGCCACTAGTTATAATTTTAATTGCATACTGCTTTCACATGTGGAACTTCCATCAGCCTCTAATGTTGTATGGAAGAAATGCGTTTTAAATTCATGAGACAATATTTACATGAATCTAGCTCTCTAATAGCTGTGCTGTACTTCAGCAATCAATAAATATAGACTACAGTGCTTGCCAAAGCGTCTTGTTGATACCCCAGATAAAGGACCTCGTATCCTGAAATTATACCCCCTCCGAGTAGTTCCTAATTCCCTGTTTTAATCCTTTCAGGATGCTGAGGAGCAACTCTATCAGCTGTATAAACAATGACACCTTTGCTGGACTGAGCTCAGTAAGGCTTCTTTCTCTGTATGACAATCACATCAGCACCATCACCCCTGGAGCCTTCAGCACACTAGTCTCTTTGTCTACAATGTAAGTTATCTTTTCATGGTATAAACGTGTCATGATGCTATTATTCTGTGCTTTCCTTTTAAGAAGACAACATTTGAGTTTCAAAATCAAACTACTTATTGTTCATATATGGAGAACCTCATTTAGGGAAAGAACCCCATCCTACTGAAATCACAGGTTGGGGAATTCAAGGTGTGATTTAGAATTTGATTCAAATTGCTTCACCGGAGTGGCTGAAAAAACTTTGAGGTTGCCAACCTCAGACAGGATGACTGTATGTTCTGCTGTGTCATAGCCTAGTGCAGTGCACAGCAGAGAAGTTAATGTCTAACAGTCTCTGCAGATTCACGAGTGCATAACTTACCATACACTTCAGCTCCATGACGCTGCTTTGGTTTCAGCAGAGTCTCATTTTAGAAGAACAGCTTTCTTGGATTTCAGTGAAATTAGTTAAATATCAGAAGAAATGTACTAGCTAATGCTTAGATTTTCAGAAGAGCCTCAGAGGACAAAGTACTCAAGTCCTACTGAATGTGAGTTTGAAAAATCCCAACCTAAGGTTTTCTGTTACTTCTTTTCTATTTCTCAGTCCTTTTTTGAAGTATTTCTCTTGCTACTTAAATATGTTTACATCCTTTTTGTAGTGTGTCCATTTTAATAAAGTGCAGGCTGATAAATATGGCAAGAAAGTCTGTTCTTTTTTTCCAGCTATGAATGGGGACCTTGATGTTGCTGTTAATGGAAGTTGTCTGCTTAATTCCCTTCACACTGCCCTGAAAATACATCCTAATTGTCCAGTCAAAAGAAACTATTGGTGCTATTGCATTTCAGGTTTTGAAAACATTCTCCATCATGTTTGAGGGAAGAAGTGTTGAATCTCAGCTGTTTTGTTGCTCACACTTTCATTTTGTTAAAACTTTTCACCAGCAAATCGGTTATCATTTTGGCATTAGCTCCATGCAGCATAAAGGGCACAGACTTTTCTTCTATTTGCTTTCTGTAGTCCCAAAAGCCTCCTTGAAATTGATGGACAAAGAGAGAAACACAAACAGATTTTTTTTATTGACTATTTTCATGTCTCAGGTCAAAGTGAGTGGTACTTGCTGAAAGCTCGTTCTCACTGAGCTGCCTGCTTCTCATGCAATTGTCTCCTTGCTTCCTTCCATGGATCCCTTAATAGCTGTGACTCCCTGAGTCAGTATATAAAGTCCCTGCCCCGTTTGCATAGAAGCATCTTTATCATGTTTTGTTAGAAAATAGTTCATTTTCAGCTGTGGATATGGTTTATTACAATTTTAGCAACAGCAATTAAAGCTACTGCTGATTAGAATGCATTGCTTTGGCACCGACTTATTGGTCAGTGCCACAGGAATTCAATATTAATAAAGCAATGAAATATTATTAAAGCAATCATATTGGTCATGGCAAGTTCCTAGCAGTGTCTTGATGAAAAAGTTTGTTCTTTGACACATTTTCACTCTGTGCTTGACCTACAGACAGGAGAAGGTGTGCTTTTGACTTTTTTAGACATCGGTTTAAGGCTATAGTGATACTGCACATATAAATGCAAAATTCAGATGTATTCATTTCCTAGCAGTATCCTATTGTAGGTGGATATATTAGATGACAACACTGTTGAAGATAGGTAGTATGACTGCTTTTCCTGTTCAGCCCATACTTCGTGAGTTAATTGTGTATTGTAATGACTTATTTTTGCATCTGTTAATGCGAGACAGAAATTCATACATAGTTTAACATTTCAATTTCTATCTTGGCATATTTACAGCATTAAAAAATACCGCTCCTTTTGTTATTACTCTTTGTGAGTCAGCCTCATTGATATTATCAAAACATGGACAACTCTGAAAATAATACCCTAATCAATGGTTTTCAATAGAGGAAGAATATCTATTTCATAAGTTATTAATAAAAAAACAGCAGTTTTTTACTTGTTACTAGTCAGACTAGGTACTGTAGCATCCTAATTTGAAGTGTGTTTGCACTTCTGCATAGAGAGAGTTCAGTCATGTCTTTCAGTCCTTATGCAGTCAAGTAGGCACATTTGCAAGCAGGACTGGTTTTCCACGAATTATTATTATAATAGCTCCATGGAGCTAATGACAGGATGATAACTGATTCATTGGAACAACATGCAACTGTTCTATTATAAACTTAACGTGAATTCCAGGATATATTTTCAACCTAATTTCAACAATATCCAGATGTGTTTCAGCATGTTTTTCTAACAGGTCATTAGAATACATTTAAATAGTTAATATTCTATGACTTCTTTGCAATTTTTAAGAGACACTTGTAGTACAATATGCATATTTAATTCCTCAAGACTTCTATTCACTCTTGATTTTTAAAATATGTCAATGTCCTTGAGTAAACACTTCTGAATTTAATGTTAGTATGAGATCTTTGCTAAAAGCTTGATTGCTTTGATTCTGTTTGAGTGGTAAAATCACTGTCTTGCATGTAGGAACTCTGATTACTAATTGCGAATTTTTATAGCAATTTGTCTGCCCAACGTTACCCTTTGTGATTTGAGAACTCCACTTGAATAGCCAGATTCCAAAACAAAGCTTTTGCAAATAATTGGCCTTTCCAGAATTTTGAGTTGCTTTTCAGGTGAAATAGGGAATCTCTTGTCTCACATGATACTTTAGAGAGAGCTTTTATCTTACATTTTTTCCAAAAGTTGCATCACAGTCTTGCCATGGAAAGTGCATGTATGTAGGCACATGTATGAACTTCATGCTACATCAAAGCAAAAAAATCTCTGCTCTGCAGTTTGAAAAGGACCAAAGTTAGGTGTTGCTAAAGTGGCAGGGGGATGCCTGTAGTGCATGACAAGATAAATTTGTCCTTTTTTTACCCAGTTATTTGAGTTTCAAAACAGTACATTTGTTTGTTTATTAATTTTATATGTAACAACTTATTTCTTTCTTAGTTTCTAAGAAAAGCATAATCCAAATTCTAATCCAAGGATGTAATAAATTTTAGGTCATATGTTAACCTGTGTTTGCCAAGAAGAAAATGAGGGTTTGTGGATAATTAGTGCTGCTCAGCTGGTGAGCAGTAACATATTAAGTCAGAGCAACCTCTCCTCTGTAGAAAGCAATAACTGCTTTTTGATGGGAGCATTTTGTAGACTGAATATTTGAATGTTTCTGAAAGTTTTTGGTATGTCCTAGTAAGATGCTCTCTAGATGTGCAAAATGTTCTTTACATTCAGAGCTGATTATATACACCTGCTGTTTGTTTCCAGTTGTGGATTATTCCATTCTAAGGATTTGTGTCATGGAAGTTGTTCTGTGAATATGATCTCACTCTCTTCCATCAGTAGAAGAAATGGCCTTTGAAGCATTGGTTCACTTAGCGTTGGAGGTTTAAACATTTGGTTTAAACACTCTGTTCATGCCAGAGTATGTCAGTATGGAAAATATACAAGGCATCCTGCATGTGGTCCCATTATGGATTAAAGAAAATGGAAAACAATTCAGAATGAAAGTAACTAGAATTAGAATAATGCTTTCAGTGCTTTTGTGCACGTTGTGTCTGAAAGCTCCTATGTAACCTGTTTGGTTTCTCACCTTTATACAGCAGGTTAGCCTTGCCTTTGAATCCTGGTCAGCATGAAGTAGGTTATTTTTAGTATTGAACATTGTACTGAGTTTTCTCCTCCCCTCAGTTCTCCCTCTACACAATGTACAATATTGTGTGCTAGATCCACATGTAATTACACACCCAAAGCTCCAGGCTAATGCAGTGATTGAAGTATGCTTTTTTTACAATGCAGAGAGCAGCTGTAAATCATATTGTGGGTATGTGATGTTGGCTTAAAACCTATATAATTTCGGAATTGTTTTGGGTTTGTTTTCTTGCTGCCACACCTCAACTGTGCCATATGTTTTTGACTTCAGCACTATTGTTTTATGAAGGAACTGCTTGGCTGAAAACCTTATGTAATTTTGACTGCATGTTTAGGTTTGTAAATCTGTGTTGCAAGTGAAGACTTAAAAGGTCTTTAGCTGCTACACCTCCATTGGAAGTGCCTGTTTCTTTAAGGCCTTATTTTTTTTTTTGGTCTTTAATATATGCTATGCTTTAGAGAAATGTCATTATCGTCTTTTTTTCTGTACTACCAAAATAATAACTTTCGGACATATTCACATAATGTGAGAATTCCATCAGTGTTAGTTCAGATACTTCGTTTTCCATACATGGGGCTCTGACAGCTTTTTTCTTCAATAAGGCAACCTCAGACTGAGGCTGTTGATTCTCCCTGTCTTTGTACATAAGATAGTCAGTCTTCTTTTTTTTAGCAGGGACATCAGCCTCTTTCCTTCATCTGAAGTTTAGTCATAAAAAATCTTACACACAAATTATAGATAGGCATTTCTGTACAGGACTCTATAAAAAAAGGTGTTTTCCAAGATTCTCAGCACTAATTCTAGTTAGCTTAGAAGGACAGTTACAGTGCTTTCATTCAAAGGATCACAACCTATTAAGAAATAGAAATTAACAATATCTTTTATATACTGTCTATCTATGTTACAAGTGCTCCACTGAGAAATTGCTATACATCTGTGTTTTCATGGCTTGACAACAGGATGGATAGGGCTTTCCTTTTTTAAACGCTGCTAACCCAACCTATGTTAAGAATCCCTCCCTCTCATGGAGGCTGTCAGATGGTTGCTGTGGGTACCACACACCTCAGTACCGCAGCTAGGCTGCAACTGTATTTGAAAGGTATTTCAGGAGCTGTAGCAAGATTTGATACAGGCAAAAAGAGGTTCACAAGGCACGAGAGCACATGCTTTTCGCTACAGATATACTGAGCTTAGAAAGCTTCGTAAGAAGAGGCTCAAGCTGACAGTGCTGCTTTATATATGTATATCTGTACCTGCAGTGCGCTATCCTTACTATTTCAGTAGGAAACCCAAATGCAGTTTGCCAGTGACTCCCACCTGGCACTGATTTGTATGGGCCATAACACAGGTGAGTGGAAAGCATGAGCATGCTGGGGCAGGGAACAGTGTGCTAAGCCAGCTTGGCTGCACACGGGGGGGTGGTACATTTAGGTCTGTGCTAAGGGCTAGCAGGGCTCCACTTTTCCACGGCTTTACCTAAAGTAATGATGTTGAAGGTCAGGCATACTTGGGTGCAGTGTGTGAGATTATTTTAGACTTGGGTGTGAGCTGTAGCTTGGGTTGAAATCCACTATAAATACAGCCTAAGTAGTGTAAGTATGTCTAAATAGTAGTTATAGCAGTAAGTACTTTGATTTATAAGCATATATATATATATATACACACACACACAGATATATGTATATAATTATTTTAATTACAAACCTAGTCCCTGTATAAAACGTGCATAGAACTTCCCTGATCTATAGAACAGAGGAGTATCTCATAGAAGCACATGGCAGGAAGGAGCTTGACTTGGAACCTAACATCTTTCTGTAGTTATTTCAATATTTCTGTATATTCATGTTTGATGCAATTATGTCATGTTCTGTTTCAGTAATTTGCTGGCTAACTCGTTTAATTGTAACTGCCATTTGGCCTGGCTGGGAAAATGGTTGAGAAAGAAGAGAATTGTCAGTGGAAATCCACGCTGCTTGAAACCCTTTTTCTTAAAGGATATTCCAATCCAAGATGTAGATGTCCAGGACTTCACCTGCGATGGTAAGAAAATCCAATTTGATTTGGCATGTATGATAATCTTGGCACCTCTGTGGGGATCTCCCTTCCTATCACACAGTACTGCATGGTAAACATTTCAATTTAGTGATGAGGAAGACGGCTATCTAGAGCTCAAGATCATTGTTCCTTATCAGGAGGGTTTTTTTATTCCTGATGTCCAGTTTCTGAATTTCTCCTATCTAGACTTAATTATAAGAATTAATTTATTATAGACAAATGCTCTGCTTTGAAATATCCTAGTATAATCCTGGCTCTTCCTGCCACTTCCTTACTCATACAGTTAATTAACACTCTGAAGCCAGTAGGAACAGTGCTTGCTTGGAAAGTCTTTTAGTTTTCCACCAACAACAGGTATGAATACAGGGAAATAAAAGAACTTGGTTTTTATTTTAAATGACTCAGGGATCCTTAATGCTTTACTGGGTCCATAGAGGTTTAAAAAAAGAAAATATGTGTATATATATATATATATATCCTGATATTTCTTTCATTCTCCAGGTAGTTCTTTGTCTTTTGATCAAGCAGATTTTAGAGAAAACAGTAAGCAGAAAAATTGACTGATGAATGCACTGCCAACTTGACTTGTCGGCTGTAATTGCCTGTTAAGACCAGATATGCTGTAGCTGCAGTCATACCTCTAAAGAGACCATAAGGGTGATAGAAGTTTCCTACTTAGAGAAGAAATTAATTCGTGTCCTAGTTGAGCAATCTGACAACAGACCCAGGTGCCTGGGCTCAGAGTACAACGGATTCAAGTTTAGAGTAATTTGCTTTTAGTTTGGGAGAGAAAAAAAAAAATCATCTTGGTCCACAAAATGACATTACAGGCTTGGGAGCTTTCTCTGTCACACAGTCACTCAGACAGCCATGGTGAATGGAATGTAGATGGTGGCAATGTGTAAAACACAGAAAACATGGGAAAATTGAATATGCTGAAGAAACATGCTCTTTCTGCAGGTTTATGAAAGACTTTGAATTTTGTTTCCAGTCATTAAGCTCATTAAGCTCAGCTGGGGAGTAAAAGAAAAAAAATCTTCCCCGTTCTCCTGCAGGCTGGTCATGCTGCTCCATCTCTCTGAATACAAATGATTCCCTACCCATACATTTATGGGTAATATTGTTATCTTGTATCAGGACTTCCAGTTGTATTCTTTAATCTCAGTGCTCATGGGTACATTCAGCAGAGAGAAGAAAGAAACAGATCTGTCTCAATTAGTCTTCGCATCAGTTTAACAAAAAAAAAAAAAAGGCGGCACATAATGACAGCTGGCTGTGTGCTCTTGGATCGCAGCACTGTGTCTCTGTGCTGGTCAGCTCACGCTGTCTGTACTCATGAACAGTTGTGTGGTTCTTCTAAATGTCATCTAGAGAATGTGCCACTAAGTGTTTCCTTTCATATACATCATGATACTATAGCATGCATTTGCCTTATGTTTTGCAAAGCCTGTTGCTTTTGGGGAAAATCCATGCTTTAATGTTCTTAACTTCAAAGAGTCAGTTTCTTCTGCAGAAACCCTGTTGTTCTTCAATTACAAGATTTAATCTGCTGTTTATGGACCTTTGAAACTCTTTTTGGAGAAAGCAGATATTTTTATGTGTGCACAAATGGATCACGGGCAGTTGGAAGCATGCTGCTCAGTTTGTTGTTTGCCTGGTTATCCTTGTCAAAAACAATGAGGTTTACAATCCAGATGATAAATGAAGTGCCATGCTGACTTTAAAAAGTAAATATTTAACATCTAAAAGCTGAATTTAAAAAAAAATCTTCCTAAAGCAGAGTAGATAGTGAATATCATCTGTCTAGATGAATTTAAGGGCAATGTTCTGATCAGGTTCTCCATTTCAGCTAGTACATTGGGCGTGGGATTTGGTTTTGGGATTCAAATAACCGATTTTACTGTGACTTGCAAAATTACGGAGAAGTAGATACTCCTTAGAAAAAACTATTTATTTAAAAGTATTGCTATTCAGGTTTTGAACTGTTCTTCATGTTGCCTAAAAAAACTGTATGAAGGCAGGTTGATCCAAAGCATTGGATCTACTTTAAAATATTGTGATGGTTACCCTGGATTCAGGGATGTCCCTCCTTGATCCTTGTAAGCAGTTATTTTCAAAGTGCATGACTTTGGGCTGTAAAGCTGACTTCCTAATGCTCCATTTCTCTCCCTCTGCAGGTAATGATGAAAGCAGCTGTTTGCTTTCACCTCCGTGTCCTTCCCAGTGTACCTGTGTGGACTCAGTGGTACGTTGCAGCAACAAAGGGCTGTGGATATTGCCCAAAGGAATTCCCAAAGATGTGACTGAGCTGTAAGTTACCTTTACATAGCTCCTTTCATGCGAAGTTAATGAAATTACATCATAGTGAGGCTTTGTAGGTCCTTGAGGGTTTTGCCTTTGACTTTAATGACTCATGTTTTGTGCTTCAGTGCTTTCCATATGTTTTGACCGTTAATTTTATACTTACTTGTTCCTTGACTGAATACTTTGCTCTGTAATGGGAACAGACTTTATATATCCTTGTGCCCATTAATTCTGTTTGTAGGGGACAGATGTATATATTAGTATCAAATAATCCTGTAGTGCTTCTGAGAAGCCTAAGTTCACAACAGGCAGTTTGAAAGGATGACGAAAATATGTTCCTGACTTACATAGCTGTGAGCTAATTATTGTCTGAGGAGATTTAAAAAAAAAAAAAAAAAAAAGAAAAAGAAAGCCCATGGTGGAAACAAACAATGACTTCTTTTCTCCAGACCTCACAAAATGGCTAAAATAAGAGATAATTAGATTACATTGTAAAGTAAATTCATTCTAGTTGAGAACCATCTTGCTAGTTGTCTTTTCATCTGCTCCTTGCTATGGCTATATACTGGATTTTGGTTCTTTCCATGGAAAGAAAATACACTGATGGAACTGCTTGGCTTAAACAGTTGGCAATAGAAACACTGAGCTTTTTCTCCCTTAGGTCGCTATTCAAATCTATCCCAGGTGAGTCATTACCAAAACTTGTTACAGTCTCATCAACATTTCTATGTGAAAGTAGTTGGTTGAGTTAGTATGTTCAGTAAATTTTATAATGAATAAAAATGGGATTCTGCTATTTTTTTTTTAGTATCTAGTATTATTTTTACTATTTAGTAACAAGGCAGCTGATGAATGAGATAAACATCTTTTTACTCCCTTCACAGTGGGAGAATGGAGTTTGCACTGTCTTCACTAGTGTTGTAGTCAAATACAAGACTTTGTTGCTGAATGAAGAGTGTACTGAAAGTGTATATGGTAACCCAGGTTCATATGGAAATTTTGCTTTAATGAATGCATCCTTGGAACACTGTTAAACCAGGGCTTGGTTAATAGTGGTTTGAGTTAAAAGCCAAGTCCTGGCCTGTATTTCCTCATATATATTGCCATCGGTGATAAAAAGGTGGTTTCTGCTCTGTTCTTGTTCAGGTTTCATTGCATTCAAATATGACTTGCCAATGGTAAGATATCACAGATGTTACTTTGATTTCTGCTGCCACTCTGAGGAATTTTTTTGTTTAAATTTTGCATATTGAGTTTTACTGATACTATCTGATACACTGACGACATAACTTTCACAAAAAGAGTGAAATTAATCCCACGTTCTTGAAAACTGCTATATTTCTTAAGCTATTTCTTGGCAAATGAGGCAATAGCCTGGAACTGAGCAGTTTGAGTTCATAGGAGTTTACTTGACTGTTTTCTTCAGTAGGAGCCTCTTGGCTATGCAAGCCTCTAGTTTGACTTTCTGCTTTCAATCCAGAAATGTGTCAGCAGAACACAGTCAGCCACGGACTGGCTGACTCTGAATATTTCATGTTCTGCCAATATAACCTTGAATCTGTCCCAGCTGTCTCAGAATTCAATCCTGATCTCACTCTCCTCTCAACCAACATAAACTGAACTCCTTATTTGTATCTGTATCAAAAGATGAGCTGCAGGTACTGAAGCTAAAAATTTCATGTGTTTGTGGAAACTCTGACAAGAAAGAAATACATTTAAAAAAAACCCAACAAGCTTACTTGCCTTCCTTCTGATTCCAGATTGAGATAAAGATGTTGCCCATAATCTAGAAGGGACTGTATCATCTAGGTCCCAAATTGCTAGTGTGAAATTAAGTATTTTTATTATTCTGTGTTTGAGAATTGTCATTTCTGTGATAAGCAGTATCTCCTGTGGAACACCACTTTTTGCCTCATTCTGAAGACAGCTAAACCTTGGTAGAGAAAACCCTGTGCTTTCTGGGCACAGGGTGAAAAAAGTTTATCAGGTTCAATCTATTTACACTCCTCACACCAAAATACCCCCATTTCCCCGGGGCAGTCCTAGATCTCTTAAACTGTTTCCTAAGACTGGAGTATCGTAAAGATGTTTTGTTTCTGTGGTAGCAGTGGATGTCTGTTTAGCACCCGAAACCTCAAAGCACATAAAGTTACCTGCTGGAGAAGACAGCACAGCTTTTGCATGGCTAGAGAGAGTCACAGCAGTCTCCAGGACAGGGATGCTTTCACCTTTCTCACAGCTACAGGGGTCACAGATGCTCAGATAGATTAAAAACTCTTCCTCCATGTTACCACAACCTATGCTGCCTTTCTCCCCTTCCACTCTCCCGTGTCAGAGACCTCTGGGCAGTGTGCTGGGGTCTCCATGCTCCCACAGGCACTCAGACAAAACCACCATCACTAAGGACAGAGGTCATGCCAAGGAGAGGACAAAGGCTTAAAGAGCCTGTCATCCTGGTAGCTCACTGCTCCCTCCTTGTGGGAGGCCTGAACAGTGAGGCAGTGGAGCATTTCAGTGGAATTTTTATGAATGCACCAGTCTGACATTTATAAACTTCCATTATAGATGTATTCATTTACAAGGCACGTTAGCTGCAGTGCTTTTTATTAAACTGCAGTGTGTTTTTATACAACATGGTTTAAGAAAAAGAACTGCCATGTCTCTAGATAAGCCAGTCTGTTACAGCTGAATATAGCCTTCTCAGAAGTTCTTTTAAATTCTTTTAGAGGTCTTAAAATAGTCTTAAAACAGGAATTCTGTCATAAAACAGGTATTAAATAGCAATGTGCAAAAATGAACATACCTCTTGCACAAGCACATAGGGAAAATGTTACTGTTCGCTGTGTCAAATTTCACTGTACCTAAGCTCAGCAAGGAAGATCACCAGCAATGTTTTATTACATGGTGGACCGGAAACAGGCTAGATCCTTCCAACTTTCTTCCTGAGTTTCTGTTTTGAATGTGTATATAGACAAAACATGTGAAAGCCATTATATCCTTCATATTTAGAGCTTGGAATGACAGCAGACATCCTTGTGCTTGGTTTGTACCACCCTTGGGAGCAGGGATTACCTTGGCAAGGAAGGCTTCCATCTAGAATAGAGTTGAAAAGATCACTAAGTCTCCTGGCTTTTTAGAGGGATGATGATGAAAGAATTTTCTATTTTCCACCTATTCCTTCACAAAACCTTGTCATTATGGGCAAGCCTTCTTTCAGCTTCTTGGGAATAGGGAAATATTATGTTGTTTCTTGAAAATTCCTTTGCCTACATTTTTTTTCCCACTGTTTGCTTGCTCTGAAGTGAAGCCTTGGGTTTTTTGAACATACTCAGTTTTCTAGTCCAGATGTTCGGAAGTAAAATGTTCATGCAATGAGCTAGTTTGGAACTTGGCCTGCTGCTGCTTAGTGTTTTAGGCATTCCTTTTCTTCTCTCCCTGCCTTCCACCCCACTCTCCCCCTTCTACCCCACCCTCCCCCCCAATCTGTTTGAACTAAGTTTCCCAAGCTCCTCTTTTTCCTTTTACGTATTACCTCAGTGTGTAAATGCTAGGTTTTTTTCCTTCTTCCACAAAAGTATAGTCTGCTTCTAATAAAGTCTTATCTGACAGCATCCAGCTGCTTTTATGGACCTGCAGCAAATAATATTTTGCACTGGGGAAAAAACATTGGAAGCAATTATGTGGACGGTGTGTGCATAAGCTGTAACATAATGAACATGGTGTATTTTAGAATAAATATGGACTAATTGTGTCATCTCTATACTGCAAATGTTGTCATGACACTGAGCTATATGATAACACTGATGGGATCGTTAGGAAAACCTGCGTCCATACATCATTGTTAGTGATTATTTTTTTTTCCATTTATATTAATACATATTAACATTTGCATTACTTTTGCCATTTCTCTTTTTCTCCTCATAAACCTTCTCTCTCCCAATTGTGTTTTTTGTTCTGTGCATTGGGTTCATTTAGCCTGCAAGCTCATTCAGTACTTGGCACAATAGTTTTCACAATCGGATGACCTACATACTAGCAGAGGGATCCCATTGAACTGTCTTTTAGCTCTTTATTCCCCACCTATAGTTTGCTGCCTGTTGCTGCCTTGGCCTTAGTATGGCATCTTTGTTCATCTGAATCTCAAGTTAACAAGATGATTTTGACAATTGCTTCCCATACATTTGCTGTCACATCTACTTGGAGGTATTTACCACCAATCTCAACCCTCCTTGGAAAATCTTCCAAGGCACTCGTGATTTCTTTTGACTTGTAACTAAAAATAGTGTCTCATACCTGGGCCATGCAAATTGTTGTAATAAATACACTCTAAGCAGGTGGTTATGATATATGTAGAATATTGTAACAATTTAGTGCCATTTTTCACTATACCTATATTGCTGTTGATCAAAGGTACAACTCTGAAGTGAGATATATGATGAAAATCATCTGTTTGAGAATGCAAATGCTTTTCCATGTCTGGCAATCTGCACTGTTGTATACACTGACCCTTAATAGAGACTTCAGTGAATTTTCCTTTGATAAGAAAGAAGAGAAACAATTTAGATCAAAGCTTAGGCTTACGTGATCCTGTGTCATAAAAGATTTCACAGCCTGTTTAATTCACCGTGGAGGAAAATTCTCCCATTGAGAGAACGGATAGTCCTGTAGGAGGATATTTTAGTTACGTCTGAAATAGAGGACTTATATCTGCATTTCAAATCTGACCGTTTAGAAAAAATAAATAGTATAAATTCTATCAAATAAGGTATTCAATGACTGGTGAAGTTTAAGAACATATCGGAAAGGTGACTTTAGCACTGATAGAGACTAAAGGTAAGATTAACGTTAAGGTGTTCACTTTTCTCTCGCACAAAGCCATGTTTCTGTGTGTCAGACCTGTAGGTTGTGGTCTGACATACAAATGCAGCAAAATCCAGAGTCTGAATTTGCCAAAACTTACGAAACTTCAAGATCCAGATTTGCACCTAGATCCATACTTGAATTTTGTTTCTTCTCAAGAAACTGTAATTGAAACTCTTAAAATTCACGCTTTTAGGATGTTTCATCTTTCACAGTCCAATTCTCTCTAGGCCACTGTTTTTACAAAATGAAACTTGCCTCAAAATTTTAGGATATTGGATATCTGCATTAAAAAGTTTAGATTGTAACTTAATTTTAGAGCTGCATAAAATTGTCAGGTATAATCTTTTTTTTGAAATGTAATATTCTGTATGAAATATTTAAAGAAATTAAAGGAAAGGCTTTGTGCCTTTTCAGTTACTGCCTGAGAACTGATTTCTCTCTCCAGTTTCTTCCCCTAGCACAGATTGCTGCTGTGAGCTTGACTTTATGGCTGAATAGACATTTCAGTGCAAAAAAGGTTCCAAGTGATTCAAATTGTTACATGATGCTTTGGCACCTTGTGCTGGTTATATCACCTCCAATCCAAGTGGTTTCAGTATAAAAATAGACTAGTTGGAAAAAGAGCAGCTGTCATCTTTTATGCATAGTTTTAAATTTTTCATATGTGCTGTTAGTGTGTGTGGAAGGTGCTGGATGAGCCCTGGGGCTGCTGCAGGCACTGGGCTCCAAGCACTGGCGCAGTCGGTGCAGGCATGGAGCAATGCATGGCCGTGCCCCACAGTGCCAGCCATCGCGGGCGGTTACCTGTCTCTAGCAGTCAGTCATATTTTAAAAGAAGCCTTTCCTGGTAGGTAGTGGTGGCATTTTATGAGAACATGAACATGTTTTGGAGTTTTTTTCAATTTTGGCTCTGGTAATTGCTTGCTGTTTACAATTCATTATTGAGACTTCAGGATACCCAGCAGCATTTATGGGGTAAAAAACAATTTCTAATCTGAAACTACAGAGTCTAGAGAGTTTAGGAAGAAAATGAGGTTGTTTTGGATACTAATCAGTGTGTCTGTATTAAGGCAGCTGACACCCACTCTTGACGCTGACTGTATATTAATAGCTTGACTCGCAGCATTAAAATTAGACGTACATTTTTTTCATTCATGCTAGAATTTCTTTGCATACCAGATGCCATGTACATCATCTTCCTTTGGCTAAAGAATTAAAAGAATTAAAAATACAATCTTCCCTCCACATCATTCTGTTATGGCTTGTTTTGTTTTGTTTGGGCAAAAGGTCTGTATCTTCATCCATGATTTTTTCTTTATATATATGTGTACACAAATACACAGAGTTTTGTAACGCAGCTTTGCCCCTTCACCCTCAGGAATAATTCTGTTATTCACTATGTCCAGCTTCCAGCCTTCTTGCAGCCCCAATATATATCATCTTCAGCTCAGCAAGGTGCCAAGCTGGTGCCCCCACATCCCCTCCCTGCTCTGACAGAGGTCTGGCCTACGGTAGGCAACAGCTTGCCTGCAGCAATTGGTTTCTTCAAATGTTGCATCTGATTCTCATGTTTCTTGGCATGCTCTTATGCCCTGAAAGCTCTGGTTATTTCAAATTCATTGGACTTAAATGTACTTTCAAAATGAATGCCTTTTGCTTAGAAAATACTGCCATTCTTTGTATAATGTGGTGAAAGACTTAACAGTGGTGAATTGTTCTTATGCATGCATGAAAAGTATATTATCAGTAATTTTTCACTATAAAATTGTGTTTTTTCAGAAATTATACCACTGGTATAAGTATTGCAGCTTTTTGCTCGCACATTTAAATAACCATCAAATTGCTTGCAGTACAAATCCAAAGCTATTCACAGCAGGTCTTCTGTAGGAGTTTAACCCCAGGAGCCCGCAAGTCTATGTTAGTCTGAATAATGAAGCATTGGATTAAAATGTGCACCCTTAACTTTTGATTGCACCAGAAAGCAAATTGGGGGGGAAGCTTTGGCTAGCCATCATCAGTGTGTTCAAATTGAAGGCTGTTTCTTACTGGGATCAACAAGAGAATATCCTGAAAACATATTTCTGAAGATTTCAACACATTGCAAGAGTTGAGTTTCTTTTCCTAAAAGAAAATCATATATAGCTTCCAAATACATAATACATGACCTGCTTTTGATTTCCTTTGGAAATCTTTTGGATTTTACATTTGGAATAAAGACTCGAACCTTAACCTACCTTCATGCATGGGTTTAAGATTTGCAACTTTCTGGGATGAAAGAGAAGGCACAGACTCCCAGTGGCTTGCTGTGTCCGTAGCAGACCATGACTGGGGAAATGAGACATGATTTGCCCTGTTTAAATAGTAACATATGTGGTTGAATTCTGAGGATTTTCTACATAACGATTTATGGTGTGAATTCACCAAGGAACTCCATTTTCAAAATAATTTATACCAAATTTAGTCAAAATGAAGCAAATGAATTTACACTTGCGGAATATGAATATCCATGGGACATGTAAATATGGAATAACTAACCCATGCTCTGGTTTGTGGTAATCCATGTCAGCAGAGCAGCTGTCACTACTTTGTAAGGGCTAACTGGTTACTGTGCAACACTGTCACTCGATGCTTGTGATCTTGTGAATGGAGAAATTATTTTGTTCAATAGGTTTTTTTCATTAAGGAAGGACTTTGCTTTTGGTTAAAAATTCAAAAGCCTGTAGTCTCACTTGTCCAGCCTAATCCTAGCAGGAGCTAGGTCAGCTCCACCGCATGCTCTAAGGTATCTCTGCCTTAATGGGATCCTGTGCACAGGCAGAATGGATAATCGTGACACTGGTGTAGGTTAGTTGGAGTAGTTTAGCTGAAAAGAGAACTGAAGCAGCAGAAAATTGTGAGAGGGCATTATGCTGAAATAGGAGGGGAAAATGTGACAGTTATAAAATGTGTTATGTAAGAATTCTGCTAGTGTTTATAGATTTTATTTTTAAATTATGTAAAAATAAAGTTTGTGGGAAAATTTTCTTGGATTTAGTTTACACAAATATCTCTGTGTTATTACAGTTAATGTAGAGTGGGAACATATAGCACAGTAATAATCTATTATTATTGTTGTTTGCTACAATAGATGCAGAATAGGGATATCTGTTGCCAAAGAAAAAGAAAGGAAGTTTTATGTGTGGGATGAAAATTCTTAACATGATTATCGGATTGTATTTTCAGCAGTAGAGGCAGCACATTAAGTTTTCTGGTGTCTGTGGGCTGCATTTCCTGGCTATACTTGATTATCTTTCAAAACGTACCCCATCAGTTGCATTGCCCCGTGTTTACCTTGGGAAAAATCCCCCAAAGTTTTTTGTAAGGAAGGAAATATAATTTCATCTTTTATGTTCACCTGCGGAGGGTGAACATGCCTTCTTTCCGAGTAGGTTGAATTTTTTCCCCAAGTAGATACAGCTTCTGGCAGATGTCTGGAGGATCACCTTGAAAGTGTCATGGCACCACAATGATCAGTTTCCATTGGAGCCTTATTACTTCAGTATCTTCCAGGGATGCAGTTTCACCCAAAAGCCAAGGTTAAGGAAAAGAACTCCAGCTCTGTCTCTGCTGTTTTGTAATAAACAGGAAAAGCCCCACATCCTGTTGTTCTCACAGGTCAGCTGTGGAGTCTTGAGTACCCATGCTCTCTTCTGGGCAAACTTTTGGAAAGTATTATATTTGTTCATGGTTTTTCCCTTGGTTACTGAACAGTCATGTTTCTTCAGTGAAGAAAAACTGCAAAATACAAGCACTATATGCCAGGAAAATGAGTGCATAGGATTATCCCAAAAAGCTTTAGCCTTACTGTGCACATGTCTGAATAGAGACACATTTAGTGGGGTCTCAAACAATTTCCACCCTGGAAACATAAGCCATTTTGTTACATACACTTAATGCTCGTAGGAGGAGCCTGTAATCAAAGAGAACTTGGTCTTTGGTCTTTAATTTGTGCCACGTTTTCCTCCTGTACCAGCATGCTTTGAACAGGAAAGGTGAGGAGGGTGTATATGCCATAGCAGGAATTGCTGTAATGGGTGTGGCATCAAACCAATGGAGGTTTGTGTTAACACTGGAATAAGTGAGACTTTTCATAACACACAGACCTGGCAGTGCAGCTGCTTTTCCAGTTCTGACTGTGCAAGGAACTTACATGCACAAGACAAAAAAATTTCCTGACAGGGTCAGTCAGCACTCCGAGGTCCTATCGAAACTTGTTAAAGGTAACTTTAAGTTCAGGGAATGAGCCATACAATTTTTCTCCCCTTCTTCAGTTGCTGTCATAGAAGAACCAAATGGTCATTTGTTTGCTGTAGGTCAGAGATACTTTATTCCCTTATAAGTCTTAAAAAAAAAAAAAAAAAAAAAAAAAAAAAAAAAAATCAATAAGCTACTGTCATGCTTTGCATGTCAGTTCATTTATAAAGGAGAAACTCTTATAGTTTCAAAGCAATGAATCAAAGATATTTTCCTTAGTGACTAACTTTATTTTTTTCCTCATTCATGGTGCAGACTGAGTGACAGGGGTTCTTGTTAACATGTTTGTGTAATTGTCAAATCTGACTTTTTTCAGATACCTGGAAGGAAACCATCTGACTGCTGTGCCGAAGGGGCTCTCCACCTTCAGACACCTGACACTGATGTAAGAAACACACAGTTTCAATGCCAAGAAAATTACATGACTCTTTCTGCACTATGTTTTAGGTGGAACATAAATAATTAGTATTTGGGAGGGAAAAAAACCACAAAGCCTTCTATAATTAGAATTCGAAAAGGATTTCACAGTGGCCACTGCTGCCAATAAGTGTTCATAAAGAGTGGAGAAAGAGTGAGGTGACTGAGAGCACCAGAGACCCTTCCTCTGCAGGAGCTTCCAGCCTCTGTGAGAGACTAAGCTCTCATGCAGTCTGCTACAGTTTCCCTTGGCAGATTTATCTGTGCAAAGCTGTAAAGGTTATTAACAGAGGAGATGGCATTAATTTGTTCCAGGTGAGGCAATGTTTATAATGCCAAGGCAGTGAAAATTTGCATAGCTGTTTCTGCTATGAACAGTCATACAAATGGAGACACAACTAGACTTTGTTTCAGTAAATTGCTCCCTGAAATACACAGGAGTGAAATTTCTTGGCTGAACTATTTATCAGAAGTTTTCAGATGCTGTTTGAATCAGCTGTACTCAAGTCAAAGTCAATGGGCAGAACAAATGAAAACAACATGGAGGGAAAACTGGAATCTTCTATTTTAAAACAGTGTTTTACTTGGAAACTTCTCTAATTTTGTTTTTCAAGGGACAGCAACAACAAAACAAAATGTTCTGTTTGCGGCTAAAAGACTTTTTTTTTAATTAAAAATGTTCTAGTAACTGTCAATGTGAAGAGCATATGGAAATGGTATGCCTGTAATAAATAGCAAAGAAGTTGGTACAGTAAATATTCATGCACTTGTATCATCTAATGATTTATCCTTCTTCAAAAATTTTGCTTGTGTTAACTTTTTTTTAATGTTATATGCTGTAAATATGCCTTAATATTTCTGAGTCTGAAGCTTTTTAGGCGAGTCTATGTGCTTTGCTTTTAGAGCTTATTCAAAGTTGGTTAGAAAATATTATATCAATTGATATGTGACTTTTCAATTGCTTGAAGCATTTTGCTGTGCAGATGTGTAATCTGTAAAAAAGACATTTCTCAATTCATACATACAGATGATATTTTCTCTGTGTGTCTCTTCAGTGATTTGAGCAACAACAGCATAAGTGTATTGGCCAATTACACCTTCAGCAACATGACTCAGTTATCAACACTGTAAGTAGTCCGAAGTTTTGATAACGGTTGTAATTGCTTTTCAGACACCATCTTAGGTGTTGGACAATTAATGTATCTCGTTACTTAAGCATGTGGCTGTCCTTGCTGCTTTGTAATTGAATTAGGAGTGAAATAATCAAAGAAAATACAATGTTAAAACTCTGTTCTTTCATTCTCCCAGCATCTTGAGCTACAATAGACTTCGGTGCATTCCAGTCCACGCATTCAATGGGCTCAAGTCTCTTCGTGTGCTGTAAGTATCACTTCTTCAATGAAGCTGAGTTGCAGCTTATTAGAATGCAGCTGATGGCAGGGAGGTTTTTAATGAGCAGATGGCTTTCACTTGATCCAGTAGTCATAAATATTTTCACACAATTAGCTTCAGTGTACTTGTACTTAGGTGCAATATGTCTGGTAATGACTAGAGCAGGTGAATGCTAAGCTTTGAAAAGAAGCAATTACATATTTGCAGGATGAAGGACTTTTCTCTGATAGTTCAGGGACAAGAACTATCATGAAAACAGACCTTCAGGAGACTGCCTAGAGTTTGTCTCTTCTACTTGAACTATGTTTGGGTGCCCCACAGGAAAGGACTTTTTGTCTGGAGAAACTTGATCATATTTTAGAATGTAAGTTTCCACTGGATGCTTCAGCAAGAGTGTCTTTACTGAAAACTTGTGCATTTTTAGAATATTTTCTATTAGTATAGATTTCTGCAGGCTAGTTTTTACATTAAAAAATGCAGTCTAAAGGGAGTAAGTTAGAAGTCCCCACACTAAACCAATGAGTAATTCAAGCCAGTGTTGGGGCACCAGTAATGCTGAGATGCCTGTCTCAAATATCTTTAAGTTGTGAATTAAATTTCACCTTATGCTGACTGGTGGCAAACTCAGAGATGTCCACGCATGGTTTCTTTCTTTGGCGATCCTTTTCCGACAAAACTCTTTCTTTCCAGTGTAGCTGCTTTCAGCTTTCTGGACTGAACAATTCACTTACGATCTCTTCTGAAAGTTGTCTTCTTTTTATCGTCTCGGAGTGTGGGCCTGTTCCTTGCAGCAAGCAGCCCCTCCTCAGCTTTTCTTAGGCAGCTGCTAGACTAACTCCTGCTTCAGTCTCTTATTTGCTGTCTCTCACTCCCCATCTGCCCTATCAGAAACAAACTCTGAGTTGGGTTTGCTCAGTTTTTTGTGTAGACACGTGACCCCATGTCAGGACAAGGTGGAGAAGCCACTTTCCTCCCCACAGTCCAGCAACACAAGTGGGTCATTGCTTGCACAGTAAACTGGAAGCAAATAAATTAAATAGCTTATCTGTGATGTGATTATTCAGTGTGCTGAAGGAGGAAGAGCATCAAACACCAGAAGATCAAGACAAAGGAGTTGAATAATATGTCCTGAGTTCTTTGAAACTTCATATTAGTATTTTCTATTTTTTAAAAAAAGTTAGGTGTCATTCACACACAGATGTTTGTGTGAATTTAAAGGGCAATGGTTGCTGTGCACTGACTCCATATGTGTGGAATTAAGGTGACGACATGAACAGTACTGCAGCTGTGGAAGCAATAAGACATTACTGTTTGACTGAGCTCTCTCACTGTGGCTTGAGAGGTAAAATAGATATCTAGGTTTCAACCTCCTAACTTACAAAACAGATTTAGATTCCCAGTTTTCATTATTAAATATATATATATATATATATATATGTGATTTGGATTTGTTGTTTTAACTTTGGCTTGGGACTCTGATTTCTAGCACACTAGGATGGTCACATTTGAGCTGTTACATGAGTCCTGAAATTCAGCCACAGATGAATATATTCTGTTTCATGGTCAAATAAATTATTCCATATGGAGCTGTCTCCTGGCCTGTTCCTGATATACAAGCTAGCTTGATTAAAGCTAGTTTGGGACTCTCTACCCTGAATTACGGTGTAGATATACCAGATATACCTTGCTTCACTCTTTAATAACTACAATTTGTCTTTTCATTTTTATTCTTGCAGGCCATGTATGGACAGAAACAAAGGACAATATTTTGATAACAACTGTTATCTTTTGGCTTTTTTAAATGATCTACTAGTCAAATTGAAAAAATATCTTCCTCCTTCAATGGAGGAACCCTCCCTGTCTTGCACAGAGCAGCATGAGTGAAATGAAGCCTAAATAGGAATCTCTGCCTCTGCTCCATGCATTTGGAACCCTCCAAATTGATTTGATTTATTGTGGCCCACAAAACTCTGGTATCAGCTACAACTTTTGCCACATGTCATCTACGTTGTTATTAAAAATCAATTTTCCAGAGAGAAAATGGCTTCTGAGTGGCAGTGTGCAATCTGTTATTGTCAGTTATTTATTATCCATATTCTCGGGGGAATTTAAAAGAGAAAATATCAGCAAAACAATTTCCACTTTTTTTTTTTTTTTTTTTTTTTTAAAAAGGGATATAGAGAACTCATTACCTTTGTCTGTGCATGCCTTTGGAGATAGGAGACCTTTCTCATACAGGCTTCTGTGTCTGCAAATTCCTTAGGTTTTCTTTACTTTTTGTCTCTTTGTAGTAAATAATAAATATGTATTTGAATATCAGAATAATCATGGATGTGTGATGAAGTTGATCTTTGACAGATATCTGGTTCTGTCCTCTCTCTCTTACACTTTT